CTCTCTCTCTCTCTCTCTCTCTCTCTCTCTCTCTCTCTCTCTCTCTCTCTTTCACGGCCACTATAATCACTATATAGTGGAGACAGAGGTCTGTAGAAACAGGCTAGCTCACCAGAGGGTAAGTAGGGAGGTCAGGGTGGTTTTATCGTCCATTGACTGCCTTCAGCCCCTCTGAGTTACTGTTCATTCTACTCTGCCCTTAACCAGGAACCACCAGCACTCTAGCAGGGGAGCTCTACCCCATGTCACTTCTCGGACTTCTGTCTAAACACCCAGCTCTGCCCTTGCCTCTGCACTCTTGTAGTGGGTCTGCTGCTCCCTCAAAGAGTCTGTGGTGCCCGGAGAGGGAGGGGCTTTCCATAGGTGAGGCTTCCTTCCCTCTGAGTTCTCCTGGTCCTGACAATGTGAGCTGTTGGCTTGGGTTTGGAAAGTGGAGCAGCTGTGCTCAGAGCAGTATGGAAGGACTGAGAAGCTGGGAGGGTGGGTGGATCACCAGTATACCCAGATCTACCTGGCTTTTCCAATCAGGAGGAGTCTGGGTCTGGGAGGCTGGGTCAGGGATGGTGGTACATGACACTTCCATTCTGGGTACTTGGAGTCCTCAGCACAATGGCCTTCCTCCTCCAAACCCTCCCTGTGGAGTTGCTCCTCTGTGCTTCTTGGTCTCTCTTAGTGTCCATTCCTCTTCTGACTGCTGCTTTCTTCAAGATTTCAATGTGCCCCTCCTCCATCTCTTTCAACTTTCAAATGTGTCTTACAACTAGGCTCCTGGCTATTCTCTCTGGAATCCTTGGAGCTGATCAGTGATTTCGAGACCATCTTCCTCTTGCCTCCTACTTTTAGCCTAGTCCATGAGTTCAAGCACAAGACGTGGACACGGCCTCTTACTCATCCCACGGTTCTTTCCTACTTCACCTCTCATGTACTGTCACAGCTCTCATTGTCTTGAAGAGCTGCCTTCTTAGTACTCGAACACTAATGCATTTGTGTATGTGTGCAGATGCCCTTTGTGTTCCTGTGTGTGCATGTATGTGTGTGCACAGGCCAGAGGTCAACCTCAGGCATTCCTCAAGAGCCACCCATCTTTGAGGCAGCATTGTTTATTGACCTGGGGATTACCAAGTACTCTAGGACAACCAGCCCCCAGGGATCTACCCATCTCTGTCTCTACAGTGCTGGGCTGGCAAACATGCACCACCACTAGCCTTTTTGTGTGGGTTCTGAGTAGTAAATTGATGTCTTCATGCTCTGTAGATAACATTTTATTAACCTAGCTTACTCTTCAACACCATATCAATATGTTTTTGTAAAATATACTAACCTAACCTCAGGAGAAACCAAAGTGTTGAGTCCCACCTATATCGTCTTGAATACGTAAGTGGAAAGCACATTACTCTGGGAATCAATGACCTGAAGGAGTAACTCCCTCATCCCAGGAACAAAGCTCAGCAAAGTCAGCTTCAGTCTCAGTGTCTTACTTCTGCTGCCGCCTGCATGTCTGGATGTAGAACTCTCAACTGCCTCTCCAGCACCATGTCTACCTGTGTGCTGCAAAGCTTCCCACGACGATGATCATGGACTGAACCTCTGAAACTGTAAACCGGCCCCCAACTAAACGATTTCTCTTGTAAGAGCTGTTGTTGTTACAGTGTCTCTTCACCATCTAGTGGAACAGTGACTAAGACAGAAGTTAGTACCAGGGACCAGGGTTTTGCTGTGACAGGCCTGACCATGCTGCTTGGCGACTTTGGATTAGGAAAGCATTGAATGCTTTAAGCAGAGCTTAGTGGGTCATTCAAGTAAGAGTGTAGAAGACAGTGGTGCTGAGAGCAATCCAGGTTATAATGGCCCAGCTCCAGAGGTTTCAGAGGGCTGGAGAATCAGTAAGTGGCCTAGAAGTCATTCCTGTGATATCTTGACGAAGAATATGGCTACCTGAGGCTACATTGAAGAGTTTTGGACTAATGGTGTTGGCAGAAGAGATTTCGAGACAGCCTAGCATTGACTGTGTCTCATGGTTATTAGTGGCCAGTATTACACAGGTCTGTAATGAAAAGGAACAAGCTGGGCAAGGAAACAAACACAAAATGTTCCCTTTGAGGAGAAAAGGAGCACCAGGAAAAGAAATGGAGCTAAGTCCAGTGCTGGGGAGATAGAAAGTTTAAAAAAAAAAAGACTTACGCTAAGTGGTGACCTCAGGGTGGGGCCCACATGCTAAGCTTCCAACTCGTGTAAAAGCACTGATCAAAAGTTTAAGCAGTGAAGGAAACCATGGAAATCGGAAAGCTGATGAGAATGTGTTTGAAGTTCCAGCCCCAACAGATAGAACGTGTCAGCTTAGGCCACATCAGAGTCAAGGATACAAGACGGGGGGGGGGGCGTGGAGTCTCCCTCTACAGCTAAGGAAAGCTGCTGAGGCCAGGCGTGTGTTAGGAGTGACCCTGCATGGAGGCTCAGAGAGGCCATTGTACGGAGCTGTGAGAATGAAGCCTGATTGCCTTGGAGACCCCAAGAAGTTGGAGATGCCAGAGCCATGAGATACCTGCAGACTAGATGTGTGACCATCCCAAGAGAGAAACGTGTTGCAGTCAACAAAGTTAGAAGGAGTTGGAGTTCTGAAGAGCGCTTTGACATCAGGCATAGAGACACAGAGTTTGGAATTTGCCCTGCTGGTTTTCAGTCTTGCCTTGGTACCCTGCTAGGTGAAAAAGCAGGAATAAAAGGAAAAGCCTATAGCCCAAGACTTCCAAGCATTGGGGAGGGGAGAAGAGCCAACACCAACAGCCAGAGATATGGCTGAAGCTTGGGGCATGAGAGTGGGCTGCTAACCCAGGTTAGGATCAGACAGGCTTCCTGCAGGGAAGGACCTTTTGTCAGTATCCAGAGTCCAGGAAGAGTTAGCCAGGTGGAGGCAGATGTCATGCATAGGGGACAGAAAAGCAGAAGTCTGGAGGGAAAGGGACACTGGATACAGGCACTGTGGCTATTAACTGTTGCATAGAGCCTGGGAACACGGCAAACAGCCCAGAAAATTGTCTCCTGTAATAATGTTCAAACTACTTGTGGGAGGGTCATACCCACAATCCCTGGTGGCCCTTGGTGGCCTGTTGGGTGTCTGAGGCCAGGACAAGTCACTGTAAGGGCCGGAGGGATCCCTGGGTAGAGGAGGAGATGTGAAAATAATGTGGGTGGAATACTCACAAGCTGGCCAGGATGAGACCCTAAGGTTCCTGCATGGCTGGAGCTCAGAGATGCAGATCCGGGAGACCAATGGGCAGAGACCCAGGAGCAAAGACGTTAAGGTGCAGTAGGAACAGAGAATGAGGTGGAGATGGAAGGGCAGGCAGGAGAGAGCGGCTAAGTTCCACAGGGCACATGACAGAGAACAGCACGGGAGAACAGCAATTAGGATAGAGCAGGACAGGAACTTGGTTCCCTTGTGTCTGAGAAGAACAACTCTGGGGTGGGGGCTGTCAAGCAGAAGAGGGGCAGGCCCAGGAATGCTGGGAAAGGGAATGGACACAAGGACACCTAAGGACAGGATGGACAAGAGAACTCAAACACATGTCCTGCTTGCTAATATATCACAGTGGGAGTGGCAAAACCTTGAAACAATGTTTGTCGTGAGACAGTAATGACAGCTAGCGTATATTGACTGTTCATCATGAGACAGGCACTGTTCTCAGCCTCACCTGCATCTCCACCTCAGTAGTCCCTGTAGGCAGATACTGAACACCCTTCATGCGTGTGCCTTGAGCGTATTCCTATGAGTGTATCCAGTGTGGTTGGATGTGTGGAGGTTGGTACCAGGGTTCTTCCTCAACTATTCTCTCTACTTTAAAGACATTGTTTGTGCGTGTTGTGTGAGGTGTGCATATGGGTCTCAGCACCACAGCTTGTGTGCAGAGGTCAAAGCACAGCTCTGCAGTGCTTTTATGTGCATTCCATCTTTATGTGCCTTCTGGGGATTAGGCTCATGTTGTCAGTCTGGTGTGGCAAACACCTTTACCTGCTGATCCATCTTTCTGGTCTTCCACATTTGATTTTGAGGCGTGGTCTCTCCCTGAAATGGAGCTTGTTGACTTACCTAGGCTGCCAGATCATGCTCCCAGGGTCCAGCTGCCTCCATTTCCCGCATGCTGCGGTGATGGGTACACGCTGCTCTACCTGGCCTTTTATGTAGGAACTGGGGGATCCGAACTCAAGTTCTCATGCTTGTGCAACAGACATGACACCTTACTGATCGAGCCGTTTTCCCAGCACCAGTGGGCGCCATTCTTAGCTCCATCTTGTAGATAAGGAAACTAAGAAGCCAGGACATTGAGTAACTCCTCCAAAATCCCAGAGGTGCCAAGTGGCCAGAACGCAGGCAGAGTGGGTATATGGATGATAATGGCTTAAGACTGGTTTTTATTGAGAGAGACAGACACCAGGAAGGAAAAAGTGAGTTGTAGGAAGGATGGAGGACTATTGGGGACAGTGACAAAGATGGCTGAGGGGTAAGTGAGAGCACAGAGTCTTCCCAGAATGGAGGGAGCAAGGCAAAGGTCTCCTGAAGTGTTTTTGAGCTGGTCAGGGTGGTAGGAGAAAGAACTGGGGACTTGTCTACTGTCTGGCTAGCAGTTACTGCTACATGGCATGGTAAGGATCCCAGCATTCTGGAAGCCGAGGCAGGAGGGTTGTGTATTCGTGGTTAGCCTAAGCTGCATAGTGAAATCCTAGGAGCTTTTATAGAAAATGAGATCCACAGGTCCCTGCCTTGCCACGCAGTGATGAATTCTCTTTGTCTTTGTTTCCCCTAATTCCTGTAGGTTCTAACTCATTGGAAGTCTCATTTATTTATCCCTCATCACTTACTGATATGATGGCTGCAGAGATTCCATTTTATGACAGGCATTCATTTTGGTATCCACCAGTCTCTGACTCCAGTCCCTGGAAGATAAGTTCCCAGGGTTCCCCGGACTCATCTTCTTTCCACCCAGAAATGTACCGCCTTGACCATCTCGGTGCGTTTGGCTCTGTAACCTGCCTATGCAGGCATTCAGGTCACCTTGACTACCTGACCTTGGCAGAGCAAAACACCTCTTGGCTTCCTTGTGCAGATGTCCAAGGTCTAATGGTTTTCAGCTTTAAAAATCCCTCCCTCACCCCCCCGCCCCCGCTTCTCATGGCAACTTTAGCTCGGCCCAGAGATTGTTGTCCTGCTAGCAGTAAATCCTTTAAAGATAGTTGGATTGAGTTTGTGATCTTTTCCCAGGGGTCAGAAACTCCATGACACTGGGTGATGCAGTGTACCAGTTCCTGAGTTGAGGGTTGACCAACTCAAGGCTCAGCTGCCCGGCTTCTGTACATCCTGGCATCTAGAGAAAGATGCAAGGCTTCCCTCTTCCCCCCTCTGCTATAGTTTCCAGGGCAGAGTTTGCGAGGGAAGTCATACAAGCAGGAGCTGGTTCTTCTTCTTGGCCAGATGCTCCTCAGTGGTTTGTGAATGAATGAATGAAGATTAAGCTTGGATGATGAACTCCCAGCCCAGCACAGGCTACAGAACTCAGCAAACACATTAACTTGTGATGTCAGTCCCAATTCTGTTGCCCTCTGAATAGGGTCCAGTACTTCTTATTCTCTGAAGGGCACATTTGTCTGTGTGTGTGTGTCACTGTCATTGCTATTTATTTATTTATTTATTTATTTATTTATTTATTTATTTTACATATCACCTAGATTTTATTTGGGATCCTGGCCATACTGAGTGGACTGTTGTCATTGAACCTTCCAGAAACTCAGAACACACCAATGACATCTACTTGGGAGACGACTGAACAGCAGGTGCCAGAAAACAAGGATAGTTTAAGGGAAGCCCCTTCTGATATTTTTGAGATGTGGGGTTCAGGCAGAGCTCTTTCTTTTGCTGAGAGGTGGGGTTTAAGCAGAGCCCCTACTGATACTGAGAGTTGGGATTCAGGCAGTGTCCCATCTGATGCCCAGAGGTGGGGTTCAGGCCGAGCCCCTTCTGATGCCCA